GTGAGTATAATTTCCACCTCAATTTTAAGACCATACTGATTGGGATGGTGATGGGAGATAGGAGGAAGCAGGTAGGAGGGAAAATCAGGAAGAGGGAAATCAGGAAGAGGGAAATCAGGAAGAGGGAAAAGTCAGGAGCAAATCTCCCACATCCTTGGCTTCAACCTTAAAAAAATTCATCACTGTGCCTCTCGGAACAAAAAGGCCCCTGCTTTCTCTCTCCTTCTCTCTCTCTCTCTCCTTCTTCCTATTCCCAGAGAGATATTTCATGTCGGGTCACAAAACATGGGTTCCTCTGAAGACCTGAATTAATAATTAGGAATTTTTTTTAACCTTTCTCACCTGGGAAGTCCCTCTCTGTGTCTTGCTATACTTTCTTGCACTGTTATTTCAATCTGATTCTAACTTTGAAAAGTTCTCAAGGAGAAAAGTTTCTCAACTTCCCTGCAGGGAAGTTATGGCCATTCCAGTGGCCATAACTGTGAACTAGGGGGAATCCCTAGCCTAAATCAATGTTGCTTTTGTGGATGTGACTACTTTCCTCAGAAGCTGCAGAAGAAAGCTGGTGAGGAAACAAACTATAGCAAGATAGACTGGGATTAGATATGAGGGAGAATTCACCCAACGGGACAGTGGCAGGCCAATTCTACGGGAAGGTTCTAGACAGATAACCACCTGTGAGGGTTGTTTTTCAAACTGTCCATCTCAGAGATGGATCTATAGATATGTTGGTCACTTACTGAGTTCCATCATCTGCGGTGGAGGGGGGATCTGTGCTCCTCCAACATCCCTTGTCTTAGTGGTAGCCAGGCTGAGCACGTCACTCCCTATATGAGTTTTGGGGAAGGTAGAGGAGTGGAAAGATCCTCTGCGCTGGGGTTTTCCCAGGCCCCTGCTGTGTTCCTGTGCTTTCCAGTGGGTGGAGAAGAGGCAGGTCCCCAACACAGAGCAAGGACAAGGGAAAATAGCCCCACAGAAATGTTTTGATAAGATTGTGAGGATTTCTAAGTACTGGTGACTCTATCGATCACAAATGACCGCCTATCTAGGCAAGGGGGCTTTTTAGACAGTACATGGCAGGCTGAGGACACGAGGTTGGAGGCTTTCATCTTGTGTGTGCAAGCTGCCGACTTAAGGGTTGTTAGGCTTGAGTGGTTGGAGCCAACAATCTGGCATGATTGTCCTGTAACAGGAAGCGTTATTAGGAGGAAGGAAGGCCAGGTTTATTATCTCCCTCTACTAGAATATTATCAGGGTTAAAGAATATAAGCAGAAGGTATAACAAGAGGGATAGAAAGAGATCTAACAAAAGATTTCTTATTCATGGACACCCCAGGGAGTTTAGAACCATATTAATGACCTTTTCTCAGAACTCTCTGGCCCCCTGAAGGGGGGATGGAGACCTGGGATTAAGCATTACATAGTGGCCACAGGAATCAGAACAGTCATTTTTAGCTCAGGGTTTATATGACTCGCATTCTAATAGAGAATGGAGAGGAAGTTTGGTCTCAGCTTAGATCATGACTCATGGGCCCACTCTAGTCTACAGTAAGGGAAAAAGATCAGACATTTATTGCCACTTGAAAACTGACAACTGTTTTCCACCTGAAGGACAAAATCAAAGTGGGTATTCTGTACCCACTGTACTTTGTGCCCTGCCCACACCCACGCCTAATGCAAAATTGCTTAAACATGGATTTTGAGAAGAGAGGGCATAGATATGCGGAAAATATGAGGGGAGAATGAAAATGAGCACATGAGTGAAAGGGCTGCATTACCATGGAAACAGGGATGAAGAATTGAAGACATGGGTTCACAGAGCCAAGAAATACACTCGTCCTCACTTCGGTCTCTAGACCTTGCTGTCTACAAACCAGAACAGATGAACAGATGTCGCTTAGCCCTGCTGTCTTCATAGCTCATCCAGGTGAAAAAATTTAGTGTCTCCCAACAATGAGACCCCTGGATGACTCTTTTCCAAATGTATAAGTTTCGTATTTCCTGTGGCACTTGACAAGCCTTCCTTAGGACTCAGTCACACTGTGGAGGTGGGCGTAAGGAAGAAAAGGAAGGAGAGACAAAGAGGTCTCTGGTGGTCTTCTTTCAGTGTTTATTCGGCTGAAATTATTTGTGGGAGAAAGATGGTGAAAGAGAAGGGTAACATAGTTATACTGATTAATTGGATTTTCTTGGTATTATTTTTCAAATAACATCCCTCTTTCCCCCTGAAATAGATTGAACTGCTGCTTTAGACCACAGATGTCTCCCAATGCTCAATTGCTATGCTCAGGGTAATGGTTGTTCTGAAGACCTTCCCAACTACAGTGACATGGAAGAGAACTAGAAATTAGGAATGTGTTTCCTATCTAGGAAGGCATGTGAGAGCACAGTGTAGGCTGGAGGTGTGTCGAATGGGGTGCAGGCCACCTGGTTGGAGGTGGAGTTTGTCCTAGCTACAAACAGAGAAATGGCTGTCCTGGGATTTCCCTTTGCAATGGTGGTGATATGTGTGTATCTTGGCTGTAAATGAGGATGAGATGTGGAAGGTCTTGTGGGCCTCATCATGGAAACTCTGTTTCCTTCTTCTCTCTTCCCACGCTTGTTTTTACTCTTAGTCCCGGTTTATAGGCCCTGCTTGGGTGTAGGCACAGTATAGACAGAAGAGAGGAGAGGTCTGTCTGATACACATCCGTGGGAGGAGGCCCAGAGTAGAAACCAGAGTGGCCTGAGGAAGGCTGTGTGATGTAAAAGAAAAAGCATACACATGGGGCTCGGGACTTGTGACTTTGAGTCCCATTTATAACCTTAATATTTTATGTGATCTCAGATAAGTCTCTCTCTCTCATTCTCGTTCTCACCCTCCTTCTCTTTATCTTTATCTTTTTCTCTCTCTCTCCCTCCCTCCTCACCCCTACTCTTTTTCAAAATGACTGACTGGGATTAAGTGATCTCTCTGATCTCTTTGGGCATTAAGTAAGAAGGAAGGACCTACTTATTGTTTATGTTTCATCTCTGCTTAACAGCAACACCTCTCTTTCACCATATGGATTTTACACACACTACTGCATCATGCTGCTCACCCCTTATCCCTTCTTATAACTGGAAATATCCCAACTTTAGTGAATGCTTTACACTGAGGGAAGATTAATAATAATAATTGCTATCATTTATTAAGCACCTCCCTTATCTATCAGGGACTTAACATACATTACCTGATATTAGCTCTCAATAGCTCAACGAGTTGTGTTACCTGTTTTACATATAAAGAAACTCAGGTTTAGAGGGGACACGTAATTTACCAAGGACACTTAAGAAGTAGGGAGATAGACTGTGATTCCAAACAAGTTATTCTGATTCCAAGGCCCTTGCTCTTTCTACAATTTTCCTTCTCAAGAGTTGGCCATCCTCACCGGGCCCCTTAAAAATATCCCCGTGAGATACCTATCAACAGAGCTGATATTTGACAGGGACAAAATGGTAGATCCATAATGATGGTTAAAATATTTAAATAGTTCAGGGCACCTGGGTGGCTCAGTGGGTTAAGCATTTGACATTGGCTCAGGTCATGATCTTACAGCTGGTGAATCTGAGCCCTGCATGGAGCTTGCTGCCATCAGCACAGAGCCTGTTTCAGATCTTCCTTCCCCCTCTCTCTTTCTGCCCCTTCCCCACTTGTGCACTCTCTCTCTTCCCTGCCAAGTTATGATAAATACCAATTGCTTCAAGTTTCTGAGCACCCATAACCAAGCTAAGTTCCCAGATCTTCCCACAAGATTTCCTAAACTGGCTCTGATTGGCTGTGCTGCTCTAGAAACTTCACCAAATGTTCTGAAAGGCACAACAATCTGAAAGTGATGTGCAATTGTAGGCAGCCCTTTTCCTCTCAACTAGAACCAAGTTGGACCCTTGTTGCTAAACCACTCTGTAAGCCTGACAAAGGCAAAGCTGTTTTATAATCTAGTTGGAGTTCAGAAGGAAAACTCTGCTAATAACTGAACGAAGCAATGCTTCCTTCACTAAGGCTATCCCAAAGCCAAGGACAAATTAATTTTGGTTTATGCTGTCTCTTCTATACTAGGCTATAAGGTGGAGAGTTATTACAGCATGCAAAATGGATAATTTACAAAAATAGTTTCTCTCTTCTTTTACCCCCAATTGCATTTACCACTGTTTTTGGGTGGTGACATTAGGTTTTTTTCCTGTTCTATAATTAATGGAAAGGCTGCACAACTAAAGTCAGACCAACCTGAGTTTAAACCTCAGCATTACGAGATCCCAAATATATGACCCTGGGTAAGTCACTATCTCCCTGAGTTTCACATAACAATAATTAGCTCAAAGGTGATTGTCAGGATTAAGTGTTAGTGTTTACAGGAAGGTTGTATGGATAAATATAAGGTACTCTACACATCCCAGTTATTATTAGCACCTATCATTTTGACTCGCCCATGTTAATATATAGCAAAGCTGATGACATCTCTTTCTTAGAAAAACAAACTTGAGGTATATGATGTTCTCAATGTAGTAATAATGACAGAACTGCAAAGGTTTTCTCTGCTACTGAACTTGCTGTTTCTGCTGATGATTTTTGTTAGAAGAGACCCATTTCACAGCTCTTAATTCCTGACTCTCCTTCTGTCTAACTTCCATCCTATCAGCTGAAATTTCTATTTTTAACTATAACATCCTCAGAACAAAGAGAATTCCCACCTCTATTTGTTGTAGTCAGATTCCAGAACATTGGACAGATTGTGGAGAAATATTTGGGGCATGAACCTTTAGAGAACTGTAGAAAAGAGAAAATCACAAAGGGCTGGAAATGAGAGCAGAAGGGGAAAATGAGGTTTTAAAGGATAATCCAGATAAATATTGATAGAACCAGTGTGGGGATTTTTGGGTTGGAGGGGCAGGCAATTAGTAGAAACATCAGAGAAAAATAACCAGCAAGCTAGGACTTCCTTCCTCATAGACGTTAGATTAAATACAATATTATAATATAA